ACCTTCAAGTCGCGAAGACTAAAAAAGCGACACTTTTTATTCACCGATTTAGGGGAAATAATGATGTCTGTACGATTGTTTTACATTTATATTTAGCCTGGCTATTTCTCGAAATCCATGCTGCAGAGAAGCTTGTGGGTGAGGGTTGGATCCTCGCAGGTTTGTAATTCCCAGGAAGAATATATTTCATTGGTGAAAAAAAGGCTTCAATATTGGTATATCTATCTGGGTTGATGTGGGAATCAAGTCCCTTTTAGACATGGCAAAGGAGAAACACAATATAAGATTTTTTCTCCTTCATAGGCCGTACACGAAGAGCATGTTCAGCAGGGGATGGCACCTGTGCATATTACATTAATCTCTCTGTTTAAAGGCAATACCAAACCGGAATTACAATTTACAATATCAATTGTAAATCTTAAGTGCTAACTTGACAGGCAGGTGTTTTTCAAAGGCACACAATAGTACTTAAAGTGACTACCGACGCCCCAAGGTTTTAAGTTCACGGAAAATGATGGTGTTCCTTTTTCTGTGTCACCTCGAGCCTCTGCAATACAGCATTAGAATGTTGTAAAAGAAAAGATTTTTGTAAATGCAAAGGAGGGGGGGGGGGGTTTCCCCCGCCTGACAGATATCCGACCAAGGAAATACATGAACCAATTTACACTTAGGAAACATGATGTACGTCAATAAGTGTAATAAAGAAGGCAATTATTTTTTTGTTAAATCTAGGTCGTCACATAGATCAGTGGGCATACGAGGCACGATGCCAAACTTGAAACCTCAGGTAAAGACTAAGGCCAAGATCTGTATATGCATGTATGCCAAAGTGTAAAGGTAACACTACGTTTATTCTAATACAGAATCAGAAACATGCCAGTAATCATTATCCCTGGTAGAAAAAGTTTGTGCTTTCCCCGTTTGCTGTCACGACGGAACATTTGGAAGCCTGTGAATATATAGATAGATTATGTTGTCGGCATCGGTCCAAATGTGTCGGTCTTCCTCCCGGAAGGACGATAACAATTTAAACAGAATTTCGAAAATAGAAGTGAAAGGAAATCAAGCTCATGCTCAACTGGTTTCTAATTGTTGTGTGTGTAATTCTGATATAATTCGTATGCTAGTGGTCTGTGTTGATATATGGTGGTGTCTGCCATGTTAGCGAGACAGTATTTTAAGTTAAGTAGAAAATGTAACAAACAAGGGATATCGTAAAATGTCATTGAAATGTCTGCTATCCTATTTTTTTTATAGGAGAAATAAAATTCACAGTTCACACTCAGTATTCTTGTTATTATTAAATATATAGGTCAATTTCACTTGATTTTGAGGTGAAACTAGTATTACAGAACTTGGTCTCGATTTCCTCAACATTTTAGTGGTAAACTGTCACCTTATACGCTTATAATATAGGCCTACACATTACAAGTTATTGCAAGATAGTTCTTGGTACAGGTCAGATCCATTCCAACTACCTGATCATACCATAGTAAGAAATAATTCAGGTGAGAGACGGTGTGGTGGTTCTGAAAAAGCGGTATCATTCTAGTGGGCTTAGCTCTTTGGGTATAATTTGTTATAATTATCTTATTAGGAAAATGGTTGGAAAATAGAAACGAAATGTATCGTGCTCGTACCAAAGCTTGCACTGTCGTCGATGGTAAAGGAGGCAGACGAAAGTGGGAATGTAGGTCGCTTCGTCTTCCGAAATGTCCCTACTTTCCTCCGAGTCCTAATAAATGACAGACTGGTGTCGGAGGTGGGGCGGAGGGGAATTGGTCGAATCCAAACAACAAGCGTCGGCCCTGAAAAGGGATGGGGGTTTTATAAACTAATCCTTCGCGACCTTCTGGTAGGCAGGCACTTCGTAATCCTTCACTGCGTCTGGTATTTGCCTCATGTTTGATGTAGCAACCAGCATTAGGATGTGAGGGGCAGGGTAGCGGAGATGGCGTGAGGGGCGTTCCCCCATTTTACTTTTACATGTTTGAATGATGTTACAGCCCGGATGCGAGGGGCGGGCAGCGGAGATACTATGAGGGGCGTTTTCCCCGATTTGACTTTAGGAAGAAATATACCAAGCGGTGTCACTGTGGTTGCCATGAGAATGATACGTGATAAAAAAAAAAAAAGAATATGGAATGATAACGACTTTGTCCGGTTTGATAAATAATAGGTAGGATTAACGACTTTAAGACGGTAAAAACTGAAAGAATATTATATTATGGGACAGCAACAAAGAAGAGAAAAAATGGTAGGGTAAGAAATGACTGATAGCACGTTTGAGTTTGGTCACACAGGTTTCGTGTCATTTCAAACTGATCTGCATGCATGAATATGAAACGAGTAGATCATTACAAACTATTGTAAATACACTAATACAAGAAAATTACTATGGCTCTGCTAAGAATTGATATTTACAAGAACCTCTGAACTGGGGATATAGCAAAGCCCTGATCACAGCGTGCTTCATGACGGCTTAAGAAGTAAGATTGCCATGCATGTTTAAACGAGGACCAAAGCTTCATTTCTATTCCAACTCACAACTTTATTTGATCAGAAATATTGAACAGTATCATCATCATCATCCAAGCCGATTATGAATTGATTTAGAAGAAAAACAAGTTTGAACAGAGAGGCGACCTAATTTTGTCCTAGGGGGCGGGGGGGGGGGGTATGAATGCCAAATTCTGCCCTAGCTATGAACTTTCGATATGATCATACTCTTTCCCCCTTTCAGAATGCTTCCACCTACTGTGTGGTTTGCTTTTGAACTCTAAGTATTGCTTACGATATCTCTCTATGAAACAACTGAAGAAGAAAAAAATCAGAGGGAGTTTACGGCAACTTATACGACAGTTTTGTCTTACGAAAATGCTACTTGAATATTTGGTCGTAGAAATTACACAGGATCCAATGAAGTACTTTATGTGAAGACCAACTGTAGTCTGGCGTTTAGGATTGTCGTGTCAAATTGAGTAAATCCAAGCCTTCCATGCTTGTCCTTGTCCATATTGGTCTGCCTTCCATATGAATAATTCCATATGATAGTCACGAAAACTCATTACAATATTAACAACTATGTACTGCGCGAATCATTTGTCGCCTATGTAAGCTGGTGGGCACAGAAGGCCTAAAACTGCACATATATTTTTTAATAAATTTGTAACGGAAAAGGTTATTACATTGTGTAAAAATTTACCAACATTTTGATATGCCGACCATCGTCATTCTTTTATTCTATTCAAATTTTGAAAACGTATTGTCTTTTTCATTCATATCCATATATATACAAAACACCTACAAACTGTTACTGCATGTTCCAAAGCACAAGTCTGTACCTAGTACGAAACTCTGCGATACAGTGAGGTAAGACAGATGGGGACACGAGCGCATATTGGTGGAGTAGGGCATTATTTGAACTAGATAGAGATGCACTTGAACTTGGGTCTTGAGAATATAACGGGGTCTGTGCCGCATGTCATAATGGATCACGGGGTGTGTTTACTGAAGAGTCAAAGATCAGCCCTTATCCAGGGTCCAAGACCCATGTACAATCAAATCAAAGATCTTAGGCAAAGCAATCCCGACAACCCAGTCGAGGCTGAGGCCACATGACCATGTATTTGAACCTCACAGCTATTCTGCTTTCATTAAGTCATAGATCACTGTTATTTTCATCAACGCCTCTAGCGTTGATTGTGTCTGTTTTGTCCGTGTTTTCTATTCATCCACGGTGATTAAAATTTGTTGACGTCTGTTTATTCTGCCGTCTCCATGTTTGATTTTGTGATTGCTGTCTTTTAGATGTACCAATCATAAAATCACCTTAAATCATATAAATTCAAATAAAATCACATGATGCAAACTGTTGATTTTGGTCTACGATAATAAATTACATGATGTAATGAAAAGTTCAACGTTGTTTTTAACGTTGTTTGTAGGTTTTCATCTTGTGCACTTTTATCAAACAGACGGGATATATGTAACAGCAGACATTAAAAAAAGGAAACATCGGTCTGGGCATCGGTTCTAACTCCCCTCTCGGAAACAAATATTATGTTAGAAAGATTAATGTTTACTTATTTCTGTTTCGTCTCTGTCATTTACGTAGAGAAGAGTTCACAATATAAAATGTTCATATATTTTACTCCACTGTATATTATTTTATACAATTCCTATATCCCACAAATGTGACTGTCCTGCAAAAGTCACAGAACGGGACTTGGAAGGTTTAAATGCCTAGTCCAAAAATAAGCCGAGTAGAGAAATTGCAGAAGAAAAAGAGCTATATCTATTTGAGTCACATACATGCACAATCCAGTGTGCTTTAGTATGATTGGTTGAAATACTACACGAAGTTCTACGTCACTTTAGAGTAAATACTTACTGCTCCGCCAATCAGAGAGCTGTATATCCAAGTGAGTGTTCTTTTCACTTCAGCGCCCGTAAGAAATACTGTACAGTAAGCTTTCCATCTAAACATCAGTCACCAATATACCCCACGAACTTAGCTGACACCGCCTGCCATATAAGGCAGTGGGTGTCATGGAAACGATGCAGTTTGAGCGGCTAGTGTCAAAGTTCACATACACAGACAAGAGCTCACGCCCCCGTTTAGCTGCGATTACTCCGCTCTGCTGAGCAGGCGAGTCACACAGGGGCGCACTGGCTCACCTCTCTCGCGCTTCAGGTTGCCACTCGGAGGTTAGATGTTAGAGCATCAGGTCGTGCCATAGCACCCCGCTAGGTGAGCCGACCCTGCCCTTCAGGTTGACCCGCGAAGACGAAAACTTCTTCGGAAAGTCTAAACAGTGCGTTACCGCAGTCCATCGCGTGTGCGCGGGAGATTGTCGTCAATGTCACCGTGTATCAATATTACTGTCTACCACCACGAGAGTTGAAAAGTTATGTGGTTAAATGTTGTGGTGCGCAGGTCAGCGAGTTAACCCGGTTTTCTTTTTCTTTCTCTCTGTCTTGTTGACTTTTTCTACCAGCCGGTGATCGATTCCCTCAACGCCATCGCAGTATGTCGATGGCAGTCAATTCATGGAGGAATGAGGACCACCTCACAGCTGACAAGCACCATGGACCGCCGCAGCAGACAGGTCTCGAACCTTCACCTCTTGATCCCTGCCCACCAGACACGGATCATTATGCGGACACCGGACCTCTGCGGTTGCCGCCACCTCCACCACAGACACAGCCCCCTCATTCAGCGGCTGGACCTCCACCACCACAGGTACAACCTCCACAAGCTCCCATTGGACCTCCACCACCATCAGGGGCATTGCAGGCTGCCACGCCGCAGCAAACACCAGCCACACCGACACAGACAGGACCAGGGAGCCAGGGTGGTGGGGGAGCCGCACAGAACGGCCCGCAGTCGGGCTCGGACTCGGGCAGCAACGTCACTTCCAATAACAATAACAACTCACAGCATATCGAGTGTGTAGTATGTCATGATAAGAGTAGTGGAAAGCATTATGGTCAGTTTACTTGCGAAGGTTGCAAGAGTTTCTTCAAAAGGAGCGTCCGGCGTAACCTCACCTACTCGTGTCGTGCTAATCGGAATTGTCCTATTGATCAACACCACCGGAATCAATGCCAGTACTGCAGACTTAAAAAGTGCCTCAAGATGGGCATGAGAAGGGAAGGTAAGAGATATAAATTTTGTATTATTGTTTTATTGTATATATATATTGCTCCATATATTCCACATCCCTGCATAATATTTTAATGACAATCTCAAACAAAACCCTGCTATGCCATGTGATGTATGTCCGCTAGTCATGTAAAATCTGTTTGATCATGTCGATGTTTATCTTGAAATCCATTGTAGACCCGTCATTTGTTTAATTTTTATTCTAGATAATTTTCAAAAGCATCATGTGATATCTAGTCTGTACATTGCTGACCAAGTTGTGTTATACATGACATACTTTTGAAAAGGGCGGGAAAAAAGCCGAGGCCTGCCCATACACACCTGTTTTCAGGTGTTGTACCATATACGAGGGAGTTAGAGAGAGAACATGAAGTTGACACACACCAGTCGGTGACACTGAGAGTGGTATCGGCAGAGCCTTACCTGGGTTCCCTGAGCACCTACATAAAGATATGCCAGACTTTCAATTCAGAAATTCACAAGGGCACAAATTGGTACATGTCAAATATCATCATCGTCTGTAAATATGTACAGCCGGGGCGGTAGCCTATACTGTTAGCTGTAGGGGGTATTTTGTTTCGTTCTCTCCAGACCCACTGATCACTCCCCCCCCCCCCCCCCACCACCTCCAACCCTCTAAACCCCTCTCTCTCTCTCTCTCTCTCTCTCTATCTCACTATCCCTTTCGCTCTCTCTCCATCTCCCTCTCGACTCTCCTTACCCCTTCCATTTCTGTTTCTATCGCTGAGTCGTGGTATTTGATTTATCTCTCTCTTTTAATTTCTTTACCCTCCAAGCCCCCCCCCCGCCCTTCTCGCTCTCTTTCTCTCTCTCTCCCTCTCTCTCTCTCTCCTCTCTCTATCCCATTTCCTTGACATTACGGTCCCCCGCTCTAGTTTGTAAATCTGTAAATGCGGCATTTCTGTTGTTCTGTCCTGATTTGCTCTCTTTTATTGACAGTACTTCTTCTTTTTTTCACCTTAATTTTTTTCTCGAGAAGAATTGTAATGTGAGGTTCAAGGGCATACATTCTGTATACTCAACAGTACGTTGACATCCCTTGCCAAATACTACCGTCACTCGCGTGTATAAAGCGATCTAGCGCAGGTTGTTGAAACAATTTTTAAAGGGCCGTTTGTGTGAGAAAAAAACATTTTCGCATGCAGCACACTATTTTTTAATAACCATTGAATAAATATTGGTAACACAGGAAATTTTATGATCAACATGAACAATTTAATTCATGAAGATATTAATAAATGCCATAAAATGGTATTGACAATTTTGGAATTAGTGGAAAAGAAACGTCAGCAGTTTAGTATGGTTCAATGGACCAAAAGTAAAATAGAACCGTCTAATGAACAGCGTGTACAATACAGTATTATTATTTTGAGAGATCCACACTGTATTATCAGCATTTGAAAACAAAATGTACCATGCTTCTCCTGATATATGCTTAATCTGTGTATTTTTTCTTCGATTTTGTTCTAAGCTATCGGTTTTTTAGCGTATTAAATTTCAAAGCAGCTTTATATAGTCATTATGCAAAAGCTAATGAGTAATTTATGGAAATATTTAAAATTCTGGTACCATGCTTCTCCTGATATATATGCCTAATCTGTGTATGTTTTTCTTCGATTTTGTTCAAAGCTATCGGTTTTTTAGCGTATTAAATTTCAAAGCAGCTTTATATAGTCATTATGCAAAAGCTAATGAGTATTTTATGGAAATATTTAAAATTCTTTTTTTACTAAGATAATAATTTCTCTCAGTCCGACATATTCACGGTAACACTCAATGACTTTGATGTTTATTGATACAGAAATCTTTCTTTACTTTCAGTCAAGTCTTAAGAGGGTACAGAGTCCGCGAATTTAAATGAGTTGGAACATAATAATTTAGGATTGAACGCGATTTGAACTAAACATGATAGAAGCAGGGAGGTGTCCCTGGTAGAAGTCAACCGTGAATAATAGTTTTGATTTTTCTTGTCAACTCTCCAATATGAAGGCCTGATCATTACTTGGTTTCATGCAGGCTTTGTTCGATCAAAAAGTTGTTGGTATTCATTGTCTGTAGCAGAAATTCATTAATTTCACTTTAGCTAATTGTACCCGAAGCTGAATCAGTTTTTACTTTTTACCCACCCGAAACACATCTTTCACATTTTAAAGGACCGTTGCCTATATTTAGTAACCGAGTAAATTTAATTTATGACATTCAAATTACTGTAATTGCCAAGATAACGTCACAACAATGTTTTATTTCTAGTTGAAGTTTATAAATCACTAAGTAAACTAAGTAAAAGGGAAGAGGGTAGATAATTGTTTTATCTAACTTAGGAAAGGTTGGAATAAATTATTTTATCTATGAATATAAACGACCAAACAGATTAAGGACTAAGTGCTCTTCTCCAGAGATAAACCTTCTCTAATTTGTTGTTGCAAATGTAAGAGCAAATTTGGGTCATGTGCGTGATTTGTTTTGTACTGAGAAATAACGTGCTGAAAGTGTGCCAGCACACAGCTACCAATCTTGCTGAGTTGCTAAGTACAGATGAAGACGAAGTTGGTCATTTGGTAACTCTTTCTTCATGAGGTACATGTAGGCCAATCGTTACAGGACATCCGAATATATAAAGTCAACCTGACATGAATAACATCAGTTGTCAAGACATCCAGTCTCAGGTTACTCAGGTACCACTATAGAATATCCATTTATAGCATGCTTTCATTATTGTTAATTTAAATTTATATGATCATTTAGTGCCCTCAAAAGCTTAGAGGAAGGACAACTATTTTACCGAAATTTTGGAATCGACTGACAAATATCATCAAATAGTTGTAAAATACAATTTCGATACAGGTACTCAGAACTTGAAAAGCTATTGCGGTATTTTAATTTATATGCTCACGCTCCACAAGATATGAATTATGTATGGTAGTGAAATTCCAAGGTAATATTCTTCTATCCATATGATCAAGGGGGCTTCACCAGAATATTGCAGGCACAAATCCTCGTGCGTAATAGTGTCTGCACTGTGAGACTACAGGAGGCTCTCTACGTAAACCGCTTTTGTTTTACCAGTAGGTCCAAGGAGTTGGGTAATGGTTGGACCATTCGTTGTAGGTCCATGGTTTGACCAGCCAGAAACTGTCAGATCTCGGGTCTGGTCAAGGCTTTAGGAATTATGGTAAAGTGTCAACTTGCAGACTCACTGGGGGGGGGGGGGGGGGGTCGGTCCGAATTATGTTTCCTCATTTGACATGTGTAGGAAAATACATCGCTGTTGGAGGATTTGCAATTGTATGTCATATTGCCGTTATCAGCCTTATTTTCTAATCTGGTGCAAACTTTCTCCAACCATGTTGAGCAATCATTCCTTTCTATGCTGATGGAATAATATTCGGCGAAGTTTTGGGGAAATTTGGTAAGACATCCCCCTTTCCATATTAACCCGAATGCCCAAAGCCTATAGTCTCACATCATAAACAGAGTTACCAAGGAGTTGCTAGCACCATATAGTCTACACGATTTCCCTAAAATTTTGTACTCATGGAAACCGCAGTTATCGTCTTGGAAAAGGGCGTTTACGTGATTTCTTACAAATTCCAAATACCATTCCAATGACAAACTGTTTAAAGGTAGCATGTGATTTTAGTGAAATGCTGGTCGTAGCAACTGCTTCGACAGTATTCGAGAAAGCATTTGAAAAGCAAATGCCTTGTTCAAACATGGACTTACAAATCAAAGATAATGACATCCAGATAATATAGTTAGTGGTTGTTCAACGCGAGTAAAAACCACAGTATCTCTATATCGAAATTAGTTGTTGGAACATATTGTGAACTTTAAAACTGTGAGAGTGTAAGATTTAAATTTCGAAATCTTTCTTTAAAAACTCCTAATTGGTCAATATGCGTTTTCAAGTATACAGCTTCTCATGAGTTTTGGGTTCACCTTGTTGTAATCGGAATGGATTTTGAGTAGGCCTATGTACTGTAGTTCACCAAAATGCTGAAAAGAACATGAACGACGTACTTTAATTTATTACAAATTCAAATAAGTTTACATTGCTGCTAAACTAGCTAAATATTTGTAAGCTATTTTTAGAGTTATCACCATTTCATGATCAAACTTTCCCCTTATTATAATATAGTGTGAAGTCTTATATAGATTAATTTATTTAACATTAATTCTTTGACATAAAATCGAAAGGATTGGGAATGTAGCGTATCACAATAGTCAATACTTTAATAGTTCAACTTTGTATAGGCCTTAATTAAATTTTTCGCAATGAATCGATTGATATAAACGTTTATAGTGAACCATTCTGTTCATTGTAGGTCCAAAATAAAGCTGGGTTTTAGATAAATGAAATCACACAAGGCGTTGTATTTTTCGTGAAATGTTTTGTCTTCTTTAATTCCTGGTTCAAAGCAGGGTGCTAGCATAACTAGCTGTCATTACAATAATTAAACATTTATGTTTAGTGTATACATAATTTTAACAATTTTTGACTACGAAATCCTTTCATGAGGCTTACTTGCAGGATGAACAAGTGGACGTATTTGGAGTGGCTTTTAAGGTTAAAGGTCAAAGGGATCAACAAGTCTCGGAAGGAAACACTTCGTTGAAACTAGGCAGAATTTGACGCTTGACCTGTATGAAAACAATATAGTACACCAAAGGATGAGCAGAATTTTGAAAACAAAACTTTTTTTCTAAATTTTTGTTTTAGGTAAAGTCTCTTCTAATTAGTTCTAATTCTTGTTTACATACTTCGAAATCCTTTTATTTTATTTTTTCGTTGGGTATTCTTTCACCGGGGACGCTTGAACTTTATAGTTTATAAGTAACAAAACAAATGTTGAAGAAAATTAGGCATACAAACCTCGAAGTTCAATTCTCTCCCGAGTCTTGTTCTTCGTTTGCATTGATTAGTTAGAGTCGGGGATGAATTTATGTAGCCTGGCTGTAGCACACCAAAACAATGGGTGAGAAAAATGACAAATACAAAATTCTAAGTTTATTTTCAAGTCTCTCCTATTTCTTATTTTCATATGGTGATTCTTTTACTGGGAATGCTGAGAAGGCAGAAACACTGTATCCAATCACCCTTGGGACCTTCAACTTAACCTCCCGTCCGAGGGACAAGGTATGTGCATAATACCTTGCCCCATTTCATATTAGTCAATAACATTAGCTAGATTTATCAAGTGGGTATAGGATGACGTCCGATTCGGCATTGGCATGAATTAATTCATTATTTTGTTAGGAGTCTGTTAATATATTTTTAAAAAAGTCACATTTCATTTTCAACATGATATTGCTTCGCATGAAATGACGGAGACCATCGTTCTTGTTTTTTGGCAGGGAATTCCTGAGCTCGCGATATAGGCTTCACTAATCACTATCCTCTTCGTACACCATGCATGTAAAGGATGTTTTTGTGATTGTGAATGAAATACTTTTCAAAACATGTATTGCATCCGACATTTGGTATTAGAATACAGTCATGTAGACCCATTCGAAGGCAAACGATCGGCAAACTGGAAATCATTTACATTCAATCACTGTGAAGTTAATTTTAGAAGTAATCTTGTTACCGGTATAGAGTAAAGTTCATTAAGTAGGCCTACCACCAGTAAGTAATTACCATGGATATGGAGATGAACTTCAAATCACACCACAGACACAGTTTTCAACTGCTCATGAGATATTGATCATTATTTGTTATCGTAATGATTTTTGCATGCAAGAGCTTGTTCAATTTTGAAATATAGTTTCGGCAGTTGCCGTGGTACTAGACGTGCTTAGCACGAACAGCCTATGCATTTTTAACGTACGGGTTGGAAGCAGACTCCAGAGCCTCTCGACTACAGCACACATTGCGACGCTGGCTTCAGTGGCATGGCATTCAAGCTAGCCAGGCACTTTTCTGTACCTCTCAGCTCTGTTCTTCATCCTTCTAAAGTGCACGTCACATCGCACAAACAAACTTGACAAGTTGATACCAGACCCATTTTGATGGTCAACAGGCTCTGGTAGAGGGTACACCCTATCTCCCAGGAAAGCAAATCCTTACCAAAGCCCCTCTCGTGTTAAACATCGTAGGACCGTGTATTAACACTCCCGTATATTTGTCTGTCTGTAGGTGTGCAATGTTTATTTGAAGTTTCGTCACATTGCACTTTAGCTGTTTAGAGCGACAATTTTTGTTCATTTCTGAAGGTTTCGCTCTCTTGGAAATTCTCCCTAAAGAGAATAGGAAATGACGGTCCCACTACCAGTAGTAAACTGTGTTTTTCGAAACCATGGTACATCATACATGTATGATCTTTGACTTTGAACCTGGTTTTATTAACTTCAGTAGTTAGTGTTATATCGAACGAATAAATCAGAGAAGATCCAGTGTCGGTCTCATTCAAAGAATAAACATAACACAGATGCTAGATCGCGCTTACTTGTTACAACTGACACGAACAAAAGTAATACGCCAGAAAAGAATATAAATTGGTAAAATTCAAAGAGTGCGTCACAGAGCAGTAGCAACATATCATATTTCAAGCCCAATAGGCCTAAACATGAGAAAACAATGTTTCTTATGTTAAATATGCCATCATATACATGTATATCGAAAGAGAGGGGATATACAAAGAAAATGTTCAGGCCCTAGTAGTTCCTCAATGGTTCCTCCCTTCCTCCCAGCTATCGTCACCACGACGGAAAAGCCTTTTCTAATGAATATTCCATGTCCGTCGTTTCTCTCCCTAGACCAAACCTGACCCACTCAATAAAATAGTGCTAAGCTAGGATAGAAATGAAAGTTCTATTCTGAAGGAGAATTCCGTTGAATTGACGTGGTTTCCATCGTTTTGTGACACGTCCACCTGTTCCACTCCACAGTTGGCAAAAAATAACCAAGGTCAGCAATTATAGCTCGTATGAACGGGCCGCATCTTTTGAGAGCCACTCGTCGCCAAGTAATCCGAAATCATCCGAAATCTGCGGAAGAAGGATTAAAAGAAACTTCTAGTTTAGTGCCTTGCATAACATATGAAGAGTTTATGGCGGGAATTATGGTTAACACTTACCGGCAGTATAAACGAAGGACACGAAATATTCAATCCTGAAATTCCACTTTCCTTCTTTTGTGTGTGTGCCAGTCATCTCCATTTTGTATTGCTAGTGTCTGTAGTGACCGAATAAATTCAGTGGATATATTTACTAACATAATAAAGTACGCAACCCTAGCGTATTTTGAAATTTGAAATTTGACAGGCTTATATAGATGTTACATGTATCCACCTTGCTCAAAACACTTCACTGCAATTACACACACGACATTATGAACTTAGGACCAAAATACGAACACAAATACTTTCACATGGGACCACGTGCAGAACATAATTACGATGACCTATTTACCGTAAGCCGCGCTTTTATCCGTACTCAAATCAAAGGTTGCTTGGTACTCACTATTGTGGTGCACAAACGAGCGGAAGAAATTAGCTAGACTAGTCTCAGTAATTGTGCGCATTTAGATAAATCATGTGGAAATGCACAAACAAGCATCATGTTAATGCCAATTATAGGTCAGGTGTGGGATCTAGGACACGTATCAATTCAGCTGCATTTCTAGGCTGGCTCAGACAATCGAAACGCTCTTTATCTAGCCTAATTCGCATCCAGGCATGAGAAAGTTAGTCAAAGAGATGACTTGTAGAAGATGGGTTGTGAACCACATTATGTATTTTGTACTGGGGCGTTATGACATCGTAGCATATTGTGGTGATGACCTATTTTCCATTGATGTGGTATAATTCAAAGTGCAGAAGATCTTGATCTTTGTCCCTCATAATTTATTGACAGAGAGCAGGGAGAAAGAAAACGCGATAATAGACTCGCCAAATGTGGGGCAATTATTATGAAATGTAGTTCATACGCGGCAGACATTGCTCGGATTTACCCCATAGTTGGGAAAATGGATAAGAAGAGATTGGTGATTAATTGTTTAGCTTGGAAATTAGTGGTGAAAATGCGACAACATTTTAGGTGCTGGTTTCTATCTTTAGGCCTGTGTGGGTTATTTTGTCATTGCTATGTAGACCTAAAATTTAAACAGAGAGCCGAGTAGCAGTCCGAGGCGATATCCTACCGTCGATTTATTTTCTCGATTCCTCATTCCATGCCTTTTATCACTTATCAGGGGGGGGGGAGAAGAAAGGGGGCATAATCTCTCAAGGTAATTGTAATCTTGATCTGTTAGACCGGATAATTATTGGAATAATCAATGAACATTTTTGTCATTAAATATTATTTACAGTTATGGGAGGGGGTCCTTGTCATGTGTCAAACAAAAGAAAAACTGGTAGGTTTATAAGAACTGTGCAAAATACCTCTTTCCAACCAATAACAGAGTAGCTACTCGCTTACCAAGATATATCATATATACGTGTATATCACTCCTTAAATGTTGTATGAACCTAGATATTTAGGTACATGTCGAAATCTACAGTACAGGTTTAAAACCTGCATTCAAATGTTTTATGGGCTCGAACGTTTACAGTCAGTCATTATTATGGTACAGATATTTGAGACGTCCCAAAACAACAGTGTTCCTTTAAAACCTGCAGCACCAGGATGAGCCAACAACAATTATTTATCGTTACTACATGAATCATTTTGACAAGGTGACATCGGGAGGGAAAGAAAGGGAGAACTGTGAGGTCACTCTGGGGTCAATTGCAGTCTGGTGACCTTAGGTCAGTTTACTGGAACATCGAGTGTTATGACTGCCATCAGCGGGCGGGGTCCTGGACGAGGTGCTGGCCTGTTTCATGTCATCTCTTGTTACCGAGCAGAAGGGTAGAGGTTGGAGATTCTGCTTCAAAATGGTAAAGAGAGAAAATAATTTTAGACCAATTACGTGTATACACCTATTATCTGGTAGATTAGATATTGTAAGTAGTCTCCTAGTGCAGTGTTTACTAGCGTAATGGTCATGATCATACTATGTAAACTGTTGAACAATGCAGAAATATATAAATAGATATAAATAAATAAAACAAAGTATGAACCTAAAAGGTTGATAATAATATGCATAGTTGAATTTAATCTGTACACAAATTATGAAGAACTGGTTTAATAGGCCAAAACTCAAGTTAAAAATAAAATTGAATATGTTGCAGTTTTGTACTGTACTATGTAGACTGCACAACTTGTACTTGCGTGTAATACCAGTGGCTACACTGAAAGAATATGATTATATTAGATTTTGAGGTGCGAGTAAAAAGGCATCTATTCATAAGCAACCTCAAATTTCAAACCTCAAACCTCAAATATAAACCAACAAGGCAGCCAGCAGAGTAGATATTTATTATTCTCCTGCCAGGATAAAGTGCAGAAAAATCTCATTAGCAGTCCTGACCAGACTGAATCGCAATTCCATGGACCGTGGACTTCGATAACGGTGTCTGCGATAACTCAGCAGTTTAGATGTTGTCTCTAACCTTTGACCTTGACTTTGGAAAATGAATGGGGTCGAATTACGTATGGTACGTTTTCTGTTCTATCTGTAAGTTAATGGGTTTATATATGTTAAGGTACTATGGTTATAATGTATATATTTTCATACTTGAATATATAGAGTATAGGCATTATTGAAACTAGGCTGAAGCCTCAGCCTAATAACTCATTGGAATGACGAATAGTAATATTACTGCGTTCACCAGAACTACTTCTCTTCACATCAACAACTCATACTATTCTACTCGTGATACTGCTCCTCCTGATACCTTCTGCTACTAATACTACTACTACTACTACTTCTTCTAATAATAATTCTAATACCCTCTACTTCTACTCCTTCTAATACAAACAACTCAACCAGTCACCGCTGTTGAGTGACATCTTTTCAAATGTTCTATTATGTATCTCCTGCTCCTGGGTGACATCATTTCTTCCATGGTATCGCCTGATCCTGCAAAATGCTATGCCCTCACATGGTACCAGTTCAGTGGTGCATTGACTGTGATTTCCATGTATCTATCCTCTTACGAAGGTTTACATCTTCTAACCTTGATGATTATTTCGTGAAAATGTTATATTTTTGAAATATGAAAATATAAAACGAAGAGAGAGGGCTTCATGGATGAACTTAAATTTACGGGCTATTAATATAAAAACATTAGTTTCAGACATGTCCATGTCGTAGGCCTTACTACACCACGAACACTTATTACATAATTTATTTCGTTGAAACATTTACCTGGAAGTACATGTAAATATGTAATAACAGTCTGGTACATTAGCTCTCGTAGAATAGTTAGTCCAGGACCTCGTTTATATTATGTGCGAGTACTAACTTTTTCATATTCATCCCACATCCTTCGTTTAATACTATTTATTAAATAGTAGACGCCTTTCCCCCTTCTACTAGTACTTTATTTATTTTACTACTACTAATACTACTATTACAAGTTCTATTACTTTTTCAATACTGCTTAAACTGCAAGTATGTTTTATTGTTTTCTTAAATGGAACTGTAAATGTTCCTTCTTTGCCCAATTTGTTGCCAACATAAACACCGTAGCACACTGCGTTGCAAAATCAGCTTCTTTTTATCGTTTTCCCACCGACAATGGCGCGAATACTAAGCATAAAATCTTTTCCATATATCTGTGATCGCTTGTCCGTATGGTATATAAGCAGAGACATGTCTCTGGTATATGGCTTCCCTACAGTTTGTAGCGATGAAGAAAAAAAGTGTCTAGCCAACTTCTCTTTTTTTCTCACCGGCTGACGTGTGCTGACCTAGCGATTTTGCCTTACATGTAACCGTGATCATGGCAGGTCCCACAAAACGAGAAGTCCGTCTGTTCTGAGCTCGGATAGGAAACCCAGATGTACAGAACTAGAAACACCTCGCAAAGGCGTCGATGAGAGAGAAATATATAGTGGTAGAAGTATGGATACATACAATTACATATTATAATCTAGGAGAATTCTAGAATGTAATCATTACGATGGCATGGATGGCATTGCGACTTGATACAATGACCCGGATTTTCAAGGGAAAGGGGTTGGGAGGTCGAAAATTGTTGTTGCAAGGGTCCAAAGGTGTTTCGACATCCAAAATGTTGTTTGGGTTATTGTGGTAGAACTACGAATAATGAACATTGAAGAGATGACATACCTCACTATACATATGTAATTGCACTTATGGCACACTGTATATTTCTACGATTGTACGTGTTTATATAAATATACATTTTCTGTTTGGTTAACCCGTGGACTTATAAATAAAGAGTGATTCACTCTTCATGTAAATTAGCTGTCATCATATTGAAACCGATGAGGGCCCAATCTCCTGCAGTCATTGTTCAGTCTCAAAATTATCGTTTATAACTACACTGGTCTACTCCCCCCCCCCCCCCCAATATTTCTGAATTGTTCAGGCAAATAGCTCTACCATTCTGCATAGAATAACTTGTATACTTTATCAACTTTACGTGATGTATTTGTTTATCTGAGTGTTTGAATTGCCTGTGAAATGAATTTGTTACTTAGTTTGATCGATGACAGTGTCTTGATGACATGTCAGCCAACATTGAGATTGTCTTTAAAACCGTATCTCATATTCTTGAACATTGCTTTAGCCCAGTTGATTTGCTTTTCATGATAATTTGTGCATTCTTTGCGAAGAAAGTGTTTGTGTCCTACAGTTTGAGCACGCCTGGTGTGTCTCGATGCAATTAAAACTTATAAGATAATAAAACGATTCGAACTGCAAACAGTGATGTTTAGCTAATGTGAATCTCCGAGGGTCATTTAAAAAAATGCGAAAACAGGGATATTGCACAGCATGGACATACTTATTGTTTTGATGTTTGTACAGTGGCATTTCAAAATGCTCATTTCGTAACTTCTCAGCCGCGGTCATTTTGGTATCTTGTAGCGTAAGGGCACACAGAACCTGAAGGACGATGTTATTTCAAAATGTTTCCAAAGCCAATATCGTTATTTCTGATTAAGTGTTTATTACATCATCCATTTAATTTTTCGTGGGTTTTAATATTTTTGACGTTTCTATGTTTATTTTTGTCATCCTAGCTGTTCAGAGGGGTCGTATGCCACCGACTCAACCGGGCCCTGGTCAATACCTGGATGGTCGCTTCGAAGGACACACATTCCTCTCGGGTTACATCTCGCTACTGCTTCGAGCTGAGCCCTACCCGACGTCGCGTTACGCCCAGTGCATGCAGACCAACTCAGTAATGGGCATCGACAACATCTGCGAGCTCGCAGCCCGGCTCCTCTTCAGCGCCGTCGAGTGGGCTAGGAACATCCCTTTCTTCCCCGACCTCCAAGTCACTGACCAGGTGGCCTTGCTCAGGATGTGCTGGAGCGAGCTCTTCGTCCTCAACGCGTCGCAGTGTTCGATGCCCCTCCACGTCGCCCCGCTCCTCGCTGCGTCGGGACTCCACGCCAGCCCGATGTCGGCCGACCGCGTGGTCGCTTTCATGGACCATATCCGTATTTTCCAGGAACAAGTTGAAAAACTGAAAGCGTTACACGTGGACTCGGCAGAGTATAGCTGTATCAAGGCAATTGTACTCTTCACGTCAGGTGAGTTTTAACACAGAGTGGCTCTACATCGTCTCTTAGATGCTCGTATTGTGCATGATTTATGTTTCCCCTTTTGTGTGCTGTTTCATTACAACTTTTCTGTAACAACCATACCCTATATTTTCATACAAATTTCTCAAACAAGATTCTCGAAACACCCTTTACCTACAATAGTGTATTGTTCCTCGTGATTGTGAAACACTCAACAGGCGTGGCGTGTTTCCCCACCCCACCAACCCGAGCTGAAAGTCTGTACCGCTGCCAAACAGTTCAACAGTCCTCACCCACGAGTGAATCCTAGCCAAATAATCAACGTTCAATCCGTGGCCTTAACCTTGACACTGATCTTGTAATTTGAAGGTCAATTTAATGGTCGAAGGTCATACTACAGGATGGCTAAACAATATTTTTATGCGAGACTTGGCATGGCTTGAAGGTCTCGGTTAGGCACGTAGAGCCTATTAGCTTATTTCATAGAGTTGGGAGACAAATGTCAATCGGCGTTATTGTCCTATTTGCCTCTGATTTTAAAACGTGATTTTTACAGGAAACCTTCATCCGAAGAGGAAATACGAAAGTAACAAAACGAATCTCACGAATACACGAGAGCTTCTTCGCCACTTTGGAAGAGCGAAAGAGGATGTCCCGTGTATCTACACCTACGATACCCGTCTTATGACTTACCTTACTTTTTAAAAGTCTGTGCTCCCTCCCCTTCCATCCTTACGCCCTCTCTCATCCCATATACCCTCTCTCATCCCATATTCCCCTCCCCTCTGTTCTCTATTTTTTTATCAATGCTTTCTATATAAATCCTATTTCTGTTGATTTTGCCACAGAAAAATGTTCGCTTTGTATCATGCTCCATGGTGCGTTATGTGTGCCTTTTTATATCATATCCTGAAAATGATTATACATACTCACTTATTTCACTTCCACCCACCCCTTCTTATTCCCCCTCTCAATCCCTCCTATTTCAATACCATTCCACCCCTCCTGCAGTGACAATGTCCTGCCTTAATCTCTACCTGTATTTTGTTCATCTCCTCATCTCCGGCCGGGAATGGTTGGCAATCGAAGTTGAATTAAATCTGATAAATGACCCCTATGCGCGAAATGTCAGCCGGATAATTCGCACAGGTAGCAAATAATGTCAGAGGTGAATGGCGGTTAAAGGGGGGAACAATTTTGTTAGCCATACAATAAATCATTTTGATAGGAACCGCTGATTGCGCGGACTAAATATATGAAAATCCACCCTTCTCCGCTTTCGCTCAATAGAAATTGATCTTGGTGAGCGACTGCGCAATTCAAGAGCTATGGTGATTGCTTGCCTCTGAGTGATAGAGATGTCTATATTTTCCCTAGTTCTCTTCGTGGATTCTGACCCGACCGTCTGAAATTAAGGATTGTGTAATCAGGATATTCTAAGCAGACTGAATTTTTTATTTTGATCAGTCCTGTCTGCTCCTCTCCATCTCGTCATCTCTCTCCTCCTCTCATTTCTCTGCTCCTCTCGTTTCTCTCCTCTCCTCATCTCGCTTGTCGATGGGGTAAGCAAGATGCGATTGACGGTGTCGCTGGGGCAATGGCCTGCCTTGAACCCAGACGAACTAGGATGCACTCAGGGCATACAGCCACTTCTCCCGAGCTCTTCAAGTGCAGGCCGACTGAAACATAATAAAGTAACATGAACGAGTCCGTGAGCTGAATAGGACGGGGAAGAAAATGAAAGATCAAGGCGAGACGGGGATAATGAGAGGGTATACAATCAAGGGTTTCTTTTTTTACTGCTGCAGTTTCCCACAAGCTGAAAGGTCGAGTTGAGTAATCACGTTAATCGTTGAAAGTAAAAGAGAAAAATGGAGGAGAAGGGGGTAAAACCCCCTAGTGCAATAAAATAGTAGAAAACACTTGACGTTGGAACCGTATTGCTTTCTTCTCTCGTCCTAGCAGTGACCTTTAAAATGTCTCCTGACACCGCCTGTCACACTTCAGCCCCAAGCATGCATTCTCGTGTGGTGTGCAAAGATTCGATTAGTTCGCCGACGCGGCTGATGAGATAAATGAAATAACTAATTATGCCCAATTACAAGTATAAATATTAATGTTTACGCATCCGAACTGGGACTAATTCGTCTCGAAAGTGCTAAAGCGAGATTACTTTCGGGAAATATAGATGCAAGATTAATTGACAGGTTCATTTTATGAGACTTAATAACCGAATTCCGTTCTTTCTCTTTTCTTTTTTATTTCTTTTTACAAAGACGTTCAACAATCACGATTATTCCTTCTTGATCAAAAGGACGTATGCCTAAAAAAAACCTGAAAATGAGCTAGATTCATAGCAATTTTTCTATGGCTTTCGCTTGAATCTTCAAGTGGGAGACGGGATTGGGGTTGTGGGCGAACAACGGCACTACCTTAAATGCTGGATACGCCATTGGTATCGTCTGACCAAAAACGAAGTATTTGTGATAAGCGAGAATAATTGAGCACTTGTTTAAACAAAATTACTCTAACTATCCCGCTGGTGTGGCTACTGTTTATATGAGTCATGACCCTTGTGATAACTAATGTCTTAGTGCCCACATGTGATTTATGTGACAGACTACAGAAAGGAGTCCAGACGATTTAAAATTCACACCAACAATTTGGCCGCCACATACATTATGAGCCGTAGTAGTTTTGATAACAAAATATTGTATTACTTCAAAAATATACAAGAATCATTGCATAATGGTTGACCTAACACGGGTTGATTACTTTCCGATAGAACATGTCTCTCTTAGGAGGGAGGGGGGGGGGGCTGGTGGTCATCATCTGGTACTCTAGATATACTTGACAATTTTCCTATACTACATCATATCTTATTTCTTGATGTAATTGTTCTTCGATTGACGTGATAACTATTATTATGATATCAGATATAAATATGAACGTCGGTTTGGATTTTCTTCAGGTTTCTTCAGCATGCTCAGTGCCAGTAGTCCTACAAGAAATTAATTTTCTTGGCAGGCTACTTGTCCCCTTCACATTCTAAAAAGAGGCCAATCATTTTTATTAACAGTGGGATATAGTCTTTAATTTTATTTACTGGGCAAAAGGGAACGTCGTCGATTGAGTCTATTCCACCGTCTGCTTATTCAAACAGACGGTAAACAAGACCTACTAACCCCCTTTTAAGCCATGTCATTTCACACTTTCTGGAATTCTTAATTCGTAATTTTCTGGTAGTTTTGACCCAAAACATAAATTTAGGGTGTGAAATGACCCCCCAAATAGATTTGTTCGATCAAATTTCATATTTCAGTCCTTGACACATTTTCTCAGGCGCAATAAGAGAGTTGGAGAGAGGGAAAAAACGAGGAGAATAGGAGAGATTGGGTTAGAATTCTGAAAGCCATCAGCTTACCTCGCTCTTGTAATCCCATCGTGCAACTTGTTAAATCTGAGGAATTAACCCCTGGTCGCGGCCCGGGCAGGTTGGGGTCGAGGGCCCCCACCCCTCAACACTTGCATAGAAACCACCTGCTGACGGTAGACGTGACGGCACGACACCAAAGCTGTGAAACAGGAAAGCAAGTCGAAAAGGAATTCAGGCATACACAGAGAAGAGAGAGGAGAAAGAAAATATCGACATGCACACGACAGGTAGATAGGGTGGTGTACAATGTAGGCAACATAACTTGCACTGTAGACTATGGAAGAAATAAATCTCTAATATTCTCTATGGCCGGTACATGGGCTGAAATTTGGGCCTGTATTACAGAGATCTGTAAATAATTTCCCTCAGAACTAGGCCTTTAAAATTGGTTTCGATGTGGTTTTCATCTAGGTAACCCGTTAGTAAATTAGTGCCAATGATCTTACATAGGTGAATGGAAAGGATAAAATACGTCCATTGTTTGACAAATTAAGATTCTTAAAATGCCTCTGTGATTCCGTAATATGATTCAAACGTCATGATTTGCAACTTCACCGCATCCGGGTCACATCACCGTACAACAAAAATAAGGTTGACGATAATAACCCTCAAGATGATGGTGGTGAATAAATGAGGCCGAGTCACTCCTTGGGTATTCTTTCGCCCTTACTTGCCTTTCGAGTGATTTCCTTGGCTTGTCCATCATACAAGCGCAACTGTTTACAACCATGTTGTAAACAGAATACCACGACTGTATACAGTTACCTGTTAAATCCATACACTTCAAAAATATCAAGAGGGCCCGAAACTGGAAACGAGACAGGACGACGAAGTGGTGTGGGTATGCCTCTACCCATGTTCTATTATACCACCGCTGGTATGCTGGTGGTGTTTTAACCCTAGGAATTAGGTCACCTGTACGCAGGATTGAAGGAAGAAGGAGCTGTAATGGCCGACGGGTATGAGCACTGGTGGTGGTGGTGGAGGTAGAGAGAGAGAGAGAGAGTTGTAGAGAGAGAGAAGTAAAACTTTGCGATGGTGGAACAAAGAAGACGTTCTTCTTCCATCAATCAGCGATGAATTTCACGCAAATGGGCGAGGAAGAATTGGTAGAAATCGGAGCCAGGAGCGCCAAGCGAAAAGGCCCCACCCAGAGAAAGTAAAAGTTAGTTTTGGTAAAGAGTTTGGCAGAAAAAAAAAACAAATTCATGTATTGAGCTTAAGAAGGAAATTCCTTGTCATTTTCTTGAAAGATATTTGAAAGCGTTGATCAAAGTTTGACACTTTGACTTGAAGAAAGCAATGATCCTAATATTCTGGATTTGATTCTTAAAACCTGTAAGATCAATCATGTTTCTTGTTTAATGTATTACGTACCTTTCATACTACATTTTCTATCTATTTACTTCCCAATGTAAAGTGAATTTCACAATATGAAATAATTGGGATGCGCACTCGAAATTATGTTATGGATTCTAATAGCCAGCAAACCATATCGCCATCACTGGCACTCTGGCAGTAAGAGAGAATGGATAAATACACGTAACTCTTCTTAATTATAAGCGCGCACAAG